TTTTTTTGTTACCATCTTTCTAAATTCCATATGTATGCGTTAGTATACTGTATTGGTGCTTATCTTTCTGGTTTACTTCACTCTGTATAATGGGCTCCAGTTTCATCCTCTCATTAGAACTGATTCAAATGTATTCTTTCTAATGGCTGAGTAATATTCCATTGTGTATATGTACCATAGCTTTCTTATCCATTCGTCTGCTGATGGGCATCTAGGTTACTTCCATGTCCTGGCTATTATAAACAGTGCTGCAATGAACATCGGGGTGCATGTGTCTCTTTCAGATCTGGTTTCCTTGGTGTATATGCCAAGGAGTGGGATTGCTGGGTCATATGGCAGTTCTATTTCCAGTTTTTTAAGGAATCTCCACACTGTTCTCCATAGTGGCTGTACTAGTTTGCATTCCCACCAATAGTGTAAGAGGGTTCCCTTTTCTCCACACCCTCTCCAGCATTTATTGCTTGTAGACTTTTGGATAGCAGCCATTCTGACTGACGTGTAATGGTACCTCATTGTGGTTTTGATTTGCATTTTCCTAATAATGAGTGATGTTGAGCATCTTTTCATGTGTTTGTTAGCCATCTGTATGTCTTCTTTGGAGAAATGTCTGTTTAGATCTTTGGCCCATTGTTTGACTGGGTCATTTATTTTTCTGGAATTGAGCTGGAGGAGTTGCTTGTATATTTTTGAGATTAATCCTTTGTCTGTTGCTTCATTTGCTATTATTTTCTCCCATTCTGAAGGCTGTATTTTCACCTTGCTTATAGTTTCCTTTGTTGTGCAAAAGCTTTTAAGTTTAATTAGGTCCCATTTGTTTATTTTTGCTTTTATTTCCAATATTCTGGGAGGTGGGTCATAGAGGATCTTGCTATGATTTATGTCAGAGAGTGTTTTGCCTATGTTCTCCTCTAGGAGTTTTATAGTTTCTGGTCTTACATTTAGATCTTTAATCCATTTTGAGTTTATTTTTGTGTATGGTGTTAGAAAGTGTTCTAGTTTCATTCTTTTACAAGTGGTTGACCAGTTTTCCCAGCACCACTTGTTAGAGAGGTTGTCTTTTTTCCATTGTATATTCTTGCCTCCTTTGTCAAAGATAAGGTGTCCATAGGTACGTGGATTTATCTCTGGGCTTTCAATATTGTTCCATTGATCTATATTTCTGTCTTTGTGCTGGTACCATACTGTCTTGATGACTGTGGCTTTGTAGTAGATCCTGAAGTCAGGCAGGTTGATTCCTCCAGTTCCATTCTTCTTTCTCAAGATTAGAATGGCAACATTTTAAAATGATGGTGAGAATGTGTGATGGGCTCCCCTGGTAGCTCAGGTGGTCAAGAGTCTGCCTGCATTTCAGGAGACTTGGGTTTGATTTCTGCATCGGGAAGATACCCTTGAGAAGGGAACGGCAACCCACTCCAGTACTCTTGCCCGGAGAATTCCATGGACAGAGGAGCCTGGCGGGCTACTGTTATAGTCCATGGGTTCACAAAGAGTCAAACACAACTGAGCAACTAACACACACACAACACACAAGAGTGTGAAGCAACTAGAACCTTCATACATTGCTGTTGGGAATGTAAAAATGGAATAACCACTTTGGAAACAGTTTGGCAGTTTCTTATTTAAATATGCACTTACTATGTGCTCAAGTTTTTTTTTTTTTCATTCATTTGTTTTTATTTATTTATTTTTGGCTGTCTGGGTCTTCACTGCTGTGTAGGCTTTTTCCTAGTTGTGGCGAGCAGGGGCTACTCTTTCATTGTGGTGTGCAGTCTTCTTTTGTTGTGGAGCCCAAGCTCTAGGGCGCGAGGGCTTCAGGTGGTTGTGGTTCCTGGGCTCTAGAGCCTGCACAAGCTCAATAGTTGTGTCACTATTGAGCTTAGTTGCATTGCAGCATGTGGAATCTTTCCAGACCAGGGAAGCCTGTGATCAAGCTATTTGAATCTGAAATATTTACCTAAGAGAAATGAAGACTATGCCCATGTCAAGTCGTGTATATAACTATTCAGAGCAGCTTTTTATTTATAATGGAAACAATGGAAATGCCTCTACACAGATGAATGGATAAACACCTTGTCATGCCATACAATGCTCTACTGCTTACTGATAAGAAGGAGCAAGCTGTGGCACAGTAGGAATGAGTCTTAAAATGTGGAACTAAAGTCACATATTAAAGAATACATACTGTGTGGTTCCATTTATTCTAGAATGTATCTTTACCATTGAAAAACAAATCAGTGGTTGCTTGGAGTTGGGAAGTAGAGAGAGGATTACCTGAAAAGAGGTATTTCTGTATATTAATTTTGGGATTGTCACATGGGTGTATAGATTTGTTATTATTGTTCAGTCATGTCCGACTCTTTGCAACCCCATGGACTGTAGCACGCCTGGCTTCCCTGTCCTTCACCATCTCCCAGAGCTTGCTCAAAACTCATGTCCATCAAGTTGGTGATGCCATCCAACCATCTCATCCTCTGTCTCCCCCTTCTCCTCCTGTTCTCAATCTTTCCTAGCATCAAGGTCTTTTCCAATGAGTCGGCTCTTTGCATCAGTGGCCAAAGTATTGGAGCTTCAGCTTCAGCATCAGTCCTTCCAATGAGTATTTAGGATTGATTTTCTTTAGGATTGACAAGTTTGATCTCCTTGCAGTCCAAGGGACTCTCAAGAGTCTTCTCCAGCACCACAATTTGAAAGCATCAATTCTTTAGTGCTCAGCCTTCTTTATGGTCCAACTTTCACGTCCATATATGACTACTGGAAAAACCATAACTCTGATTATGTGGGCCTTTTTCAGCAAAGTAATGTCTCTGCTTTTTAATATGCAGTTTAGGTTTGTCATAGCCTTTTTTCCAAAGAGAAAGTGTCTTTAAATTTCATGGCTGCAGTCACCATCTGCAGTGATTTTGGAGCCCCCCAAAATAAAATCTGTCACCATTTCCATGGTTTCCCCACCTATTTGCCATGAAGTGATGGGATCAGCTGCCATGATCTTAGATTTTTGGTGGACCATGTACTTTACAGTGTATATAAATTAGACCTTGATAACATTGATTTTTTAAAAAAATGACTGTTGCTGCTGCTGCTAAGTCACTTCAGTTGTGTCCAACTCTGTGCGACTCCATAGACAGAAGCCCACCAGGCTCCCCTGTCCCTGGGATTCTCCAGGCAAGAACACTGGAGTCGGTTGCCATTTCCTTCTCCAATGCCTTAAAGTGAAAAGTGAAAGGGAAGTCGCTCAGTCATGTCCGACTCTTGGCGACCCCACATACTGCAGCCTACCAAGCCTCTGTCCATGGGATTTTCCAGGCAAGAGTACTGGAGAGGGGTGCCATTGCCTTCTCCATAAAGATGACTATATAACATGAATTAAAATTTTTATCAAACTAAAGAGATCAAAACAATATGGCATTGGTACCAAGGGATTCAAAGAGAAGAACAGAACAATAATTTCAAGAAACTGACTTGAGTTTGAAACAGTTAAGAATTTAGAATGCTTTGGTGTTTTAAATCAGGTTGAGAGAGAAATGATGTATTCATAAATGATGTTGAGTCAACTGACTAACTATTCAAAATATAAAAATTCGAGCCTTATCTGTTACCACTTACAAAAAATAAATTCCATATGGATTCAGGAATTAAGTCTATTAAAAGAGAAAAGCTGACAGATTCAGGAATTAAGTCTATTAAAAGAGAAAAGCTGACAGAGAGATGGGGGAGCCCTGCCTGGGCCTAGGGGTCCACTGAGTCACCCTTTGCTTGGAATCTCCCACTGGGTAAACCTGTGGTCCTGGAGACGCCCAGGCCTTGTGCCCCTCACCTCCACCCCATGGTGGGCTGGGGATCTCCTGTCTTGAGCCCTGAGGCTAAAGACTAACTCTGAAGTCCGCTTCTCCAGGCTGTCCTAGTGCTAAGGCTCATGTCTCCAATCTGTACAGTGGTCTAATAGTGATGCTCTTTGCAGCTTGAAAGTCTGTAGAGAGGACTGTGTGGGAATCACTCAGTGGGGTAAGACACTAGGCGAGTGATGACAAGCGCCCGTCTCTTCTCTCTGAGCAGGAGCACCAGGCCTGGGAGAGAAGCTGGGGCTGCTGGCTCTGTGGGAGAGGGTAGACATTCGGCACAATCAGTCCTCGCACGGCCGTCTCACTTCGTGCTCACTAGTGACCAGGGAAGCACAACAGAGGAGGGGCCACAGAGATGGAGACCAGAGATCCAGGCCTTGGCTGCACTCCCGAGGAGCCTGAGGCATCCAGGTAAGGAGAGGTGCAGATGGCCCCAGGCAGCAGAACAGATGCTTGAGACCCCTCCTCACCTTCTGCCGGAGGCCCTGGGGGTCTCTGTGAGTCTCTGGCCACAAGTCTCCCGGTGAATTCATTCGCCCCGTCATGGAGAACTGATCTGATTTCTGAAAAATGCCTGCCTGCCCTTTGTCCCCTTGAGTCTCTGGGAAGGCTCTGGATTCAGCTAAATTAAGAGGCAGGTGATGATCACAGGTGTTGGGTGCTTGGGCAGGAGTCTCCATGGTAACAGAGCCATCTGGCTTTTTTGTCTGGCACCAGGCCTTATGACTTCATGATGGAATCTTCCCTACTAGGCAGCGAGGTTTCCCAGGGGGAAGAGGAGGCCAGGAGGAAGGGACCTGCCGAGGAGGCTTTGTCTTTTCACCCAGAGTTTGAAGATGAAGCTTGATCTTGTCATGACTCAGGGCTGCTGCTGACTCTGCAATGGCCGCTGGAGGTGGCATCCCGGGGGAGATAGTGTAAACAGCATTGTGCACTGGCCACCTTTGGCTGAGCCCCCTGGAGAGCTGGTGGAGGCAACTCTGACCTGCTTCAGTCCAGGCTGGCTGGTGGAGTGGAGCCAGGACCCAGGTGGAAAAGACTGAGGTCTGGGAGAGCTGTTGGCCCACCACTGGGAGGTCCACACTGGGCCAGCACCACCACATGGCAGGAAGGGTAAGGCCTAGGTGAGCCCAGCCCACAGAGGGGCCCACGGTCACGGCGATGGGCCTCTCCCCACAAGCTGCTCGCCAGAGAGCCCTGCCAGTCTTCATCCTTGTGTCAGAGCCCTTCATCCACACAGCCAGCCATCCAACCAACCTATGTGAGGTAGTGTCCTAGGGCCGCTGAGATAAGTCACTGCAAACAGGGTGATTCACACAGTGCAAACTGATTCTCTCATAGTTCAGAAGGTCAGGAGCCAAAATCAAGGTGTGGGCTGGGTCCTCTTTCAGGGCTCAGAGGGAGAATCTGTTCCCTTCCCCTCTCCTAGCTTCTGGTGGCTGCTGGCGATCCTTGGCATTTCTTGGCTTGTGTCAGCATTGCTCCAATCTCTGCCTCCGTTGTCACGTGGCATTCTCCCTGTGTCTGTGTCCAAATGTTCTTCATCTTATAAGGACACCAGTCATTGGATTTGGAGTCCACTCTAATCTAGGATGACCTCATCATAACTGGATTCCATTTGCAAAGAGCCAATTTCTAAGTGAGGCCTCATTCACAGTTACCAGGGGTTAGGACCTCCTATCTTACAGGGGACATGGTTCAACTCTCAAAACCACGTAAGTCACAGTGAAAAGGCTTCAGAGGAGGGCAGACTCAGGTTCAGACCCTGGCACCACTGCTAGTCTGTCCTGTTTTCTTGACCCAGCAAAGCTGGAAAGGCACATCTGTCCTCATATGCTTCTAAGGACTCCCAGAGAGGAGTGCCTGTGGGGTTTGGGGAGTGGCAGAAACTCAGCAAAGGTGGCTTGAGTGGGACATGTGGGACTCAGAGGAGGGCCTGGTCCCCTGTCTCCAGGAGCTCATGGTCAGCAGGGTAGCAGGCACTGACCAAGGGTTAAGACTTGAGACGGGGACCTTGTGCTCAAGCTGTACACAGGAGTTGGGGCAAGCATGGACCATGTGGCCTGTGGCAGAAGGTGGCACTCCAGGCCCAGAGGCCCCATCAAGGATCAACAGGGCCAGAACACAGTAGGTCCCCCCTGTGTGACCCAGAAGCCACGTGTGCAATCCATGGACCCCACTATATACCCATGATCCTGACAAAGGTAGAACATGGGCTGGCTTTTCACTGACAGGTGCTCTGGGTACCTCTGTCCCCTCAGGGCCTGGATAATAATTCCTCATTCTCCACCCCACCCAACCCTAAGACATGGCTTATCCCTCCTGGTGACATTGAGTCTGGTAAAGACTTTTTTCCTGGCCAAGCCCAGTTCAGCATTCTTTCTTTCTTCCTCTTTCTTTCACTTCAACCTTCCTTTTATTCTTTCATTATTTGGTATCTACTGTATGTCAGGGCTGTTGTAGACTCCCAAGAATATAGAAGACAGATGGGCCTTGCCTAGGTGGAATTTATAAACAGTGAGATGAAAGGCATTAATCAAGTAATCATGCAGATGAATGTTGCACAGCAGAGGAATGGATGCTCTAAATGAGAAGTCCCAGGGTGGTGGGAGTCAATGGTAGAGCAAAACAACCAAGCCGAGAGTTAGGGAAGAGACCCTAGGCCAGGAGCTGGAGCTAGTTGTCAACTAGGGGAAAGGAGAAGGGGGAGAATCCTGGCAGGAGCATTAGCACATGCAAAGGCCCTGTGGCAAGAGGATAGTTGGCAAGTAAGAAGGACCTAGAAAAGGTCTGCATGGCTGGAGTGGACAGAGTGTAGGGCATGTGTGTCTCAAGGAGGCATTTGCACACCATGTTCATTAGCATTATTCAAACTAGCCCAGAGGTAGAGCAACCCAGTGTCCCTTCATGGATGATGGATAAACAAAATGGGATCCATCCACGCAATGGCATGTGACTCAGCCTTAAACAGGAAGGACAGCCTGCCACCTGCTCCAACAGGGATGGACCTTGAGCAGATGAGCCAGTCCCCAGAGAATAAGCACCATTAAGATTCCACCTACCTGAGGTCCCTGTGTGTGTGCTCAGTCGCTTCAATTGTATCCTACTCTTTATTACCCTGTGGACTGTAGCCCGCCAGGCTCCTCTGTCCATGGGGATTCTCCAGGCAAGAATACCTGGGCGGGATGCCATGTCCTCCTCCATGGGGCCTTCCCAACCCAGGGATTGAACCCATGTCTCTCAAGTCTCCTGCATTGCAGGTGGATTTTTTTTTTTTTACCGCACAGCCACTGGAGAAGCCCCTGAGGTCCCTAAGGTCGTCAAATTCATATAAAGTAGTTGGGGGCCAAGAGCTGGCGGGGAGGAGGGGGCAGTCAGTGTTTACTGGGGACAGAGGGTCAGATTTACAAGGTGAGTGATGGAGATGATGGTGGTTAAGTGTGTCCCACCAGCCTTAGAGGTGGTCTACATGGTGTGAAGTTCATGTTGAGTGTGTTTTATCACAGTGAAAAATGGGAGGGAAGCCCAAGGTGGATCTCTCAGGTGGGTCATAGGTGAGCACAGGCTTTGTCCGAGGCTCAGCCCCACCCCCTGTCCCTCTCACTAGACTTCAACCCTCACTCCAGAACTGTCACTGCCGGCCACTCACCAATCCCTGCCAGCCCCTGGGTGGCATGGACTGGCCTAGGGCAGCAGGCGGTGAGCCTGAAACGAAGCCATGAGAGCTTCCCCCAGGGGCCCGGGCTCCTGCAGGGTAACCAGACCGTGATCCTGGAGGCACTCAGACCACAAACCAGTATTATCAGGATATCTTGGAGGAGTGCACGTGATGATATTTCTCTAGAGGAGAGTCGGGCACCTGGGAGACTCAGAACTCTGGGCGACAGGGCTGGGGCGGGGGTCCCACAGCCCACTGTGCAGCCTGTCGGGTCCCCTTTGCTTAGCACATGTGCGTGTGTGCTAAGTCTCTTCAGTCAAGTCCGACTCTTTGCAACCCCATGGACAGTAGCCTACCAGGCTCCTCTCTCCATGGAGATTCTCCAGGCAAGAATACTGAAGTGGGTTGCCATGCCCTCCTTCAGAGCATCTTCCCTACTCAGGGATCGACTTCACCTGTGTCTCCTGTGGTTCCTGCATTGCAGGCAGATTTTTAACCACTGAGCCATTGAGGAAGCCCATGGGGCATATGAGATGCACTGAAAGTTAGCAGGTTAGACCCATCACTTGTTAGAAAAGTATCAGTGAGTGAAACAAGACTGTTCACACATGGAGTAGGCAGATCACTGCCCAAGAAAAGTGTTTCAGTTCTGAAGTGAAGGGCAAGGTGATCCAGAGTCAGCTGGCGGGGGGGTGGGGGTGGGGGTGGGGGGTGGGGCAGAGGGTGGGAGTTGGGAAAGCTCCTCTGAGCTAAGAGTCTAAGAGCAGATTTGGGCTCTGAAGCAGGACCTACTTGCTATGACTGAGGAAGGACAAAAGGCTGACTAGTGTATCCAGGAGGGAGAAGGAGCCACTTCTCCTGCAGTGAGACTGCAGGTGTCAGCAGGCTGGGTGCCCTGAGGCTTGTGGGTAACCTGACCCTGGCTGGGAGCCACCCTGGGTTTTAACCAAGCAGAACCACATTTGGAAAACCCCTCTAGCCTCCAGTGTTGGCAGGAGCAGGGGAGGGAAAGCTGGAGAGGCTAAGGGATTTGGGTGCCATGACAGATGGAACACCCTTCTCTTCCCAGACGTCCCAGGAGAGCTGCAAGGCTGAGCCCAGAGTCTTGTCCTCTCCAAGTCTCCTGGAGGAGGACAACCCAGAGCCCCCATCCCAGCAACTACAGGCCACCAGTTCAGGGGGCAGTGAGTCCCTCGGCAACCCTGACCTCTCCCATGGGCCCCTGGTGGCCCTGGAGTACCTGCCCTTCTTCCGCACCTATGGGCAGCTCCTGGCTGAGGAGGAGTTGGCCCCACAGCCTGAGGTCTTCAGGGACCAAGGAGGAGACCAGAGTGTCAGAGAGGAGGACTCAGAGCTGCCCAGCGGCTTCTTCCCTTACTATCGCTCCAAGGAGGAGAGTTTCCCCAGCCTGGCCCTCCCTGGCAGGTCATGTGCAGGCTCCCGTGACCCTCCCGCCAGGAGAGAGGTGCCGGCCTGCTGCACAATGACAATCATCCGCGACTGCTCGGTGAGTCAGGGAGACTACAGAGGGTGTGCGGAGCAGCACTGGGTGCCCTGCGGCCCTTCGGACCCCTCCCAACCCTCACCCCAGTAGGCTTGGCCAGCCCCCCGCCCCCCCAGGGTCAGCAGGAGCAGTGTGTCATTGGTTAAGAGCACAGAGGCTGGAGGCAGATCGCCTCACTCAATCCTAGCTCGGCCACTTACTCGGAAGGTAGCCTGGGAATTGTTTTAAGCTTCATGATTCTCAGTTTCCTTATAAAGACAGAAAATAGTAGTAGCTACTATTTGTTCTTAGGCTCCCAGACAAATGATTCATGTGTGCCGTTTCATTTTTCCTAATAAGATTCCTATGAGGTGGGTATTATTATTCCCATTTTATGGAATGAGACTTGGAGAAGTTAAGCAACTTGGCCAGAGACACTGCTAGCAAGAGCAGTCCTGGGATTTGACCCAAAGCCCATGCCTCACAGAGTCACTAATAGCCACTTCCAGCACCATGAAGCTAGTACCGATCCTATGCCAGCAAGATGAAGGCAGTGGGATGAGTGGGTTCTAATCCCAGTTGGGAGCCCTGGGCTGGGGGTGGAGGGGGTGACCTATACCGCTGAGAGCTTCCCTTCTGTAGATCAGGCATGCCTTTCCCTTCTTTCCCTAGTGCTACTGTGAAGTGGAGGCCCAAGCCAGCCCTGGGTGCCAGGCCGAACCTGGCAGCCTGGCTGACGGTCTTATCTCTCCCTGACCCAGGCTGGCCCAGCAGACCTCACCTCCGGGCGCTCTCACTCACCTGCCTGCTGCCCCATCCTGATGGTTTCAGCTGGGCCTTCCCATGATAGCAGCCTGGACACTCCTCTCTCCAGCGACGTTGCCTTCGGGGCCCAGGTGCTTCATGCTTCAGGATTCGTGCCTTACTACAGAAGCCCTGAGGAGGGGCTGCACATGAGCCCTGGGCCCCCCATCTCTCCACTGTGGGGCCAGGAGCCCACAGGAAAGCTGCCCAGGCCCAGGGCAGCCACACTGTGAGGGAGCAGGAGCTGGTGGTGGCAGGAATCACCAGCAAACAGCCCCCAGTACCTGATGATCAGCACTCAAGAGGGGAAGTGACTGGGGGCAAGACTCCAGGGCTCAGCTTGTCCTGGGACTGGAGCTGGCCTGGGACCGCAGTCCCCAGGTCTTCATTTTCCCCTCTGGAGGGAGGCACCCAAGCCCAGGCTCTCCTGTTGGTCTCAAAAGAATACCCTGCACCCTACTAGTGGGTGGCTCAACCCCGGGGTCTGAGTCAGCAGAGGAGAGCTCAGCCTGCATCCCATGTTCAGCCACATCCCCAGGAAGTGATCCCACTTCCCTGGCTGCTCCCACTCCTCTCTCCCAGCTGGAAAACCTGCCCAGTGGAGAGCTACTGTCCCAGGAGTGCCTCCACAAAGGGGAGGGAGCAGGGTTTGCCTGAACACTTGAGAGGTGCAGAGATCAGAGACTGGTTTGTAAATAAATCATTCCACTCCCAGGATTGGACTTGGTGCACTAATTTGATGCTTTGGAGTAATACTTGTGGCTTCCGTTTATGGAGCACGTACTGTATGCTAAGCACCTCACAGAGATCATCTCCATAATCCCGAGGTGCAGACACTGGTGTCATCTGCATTCTACAGCTGAAGAAACAAGCTCAGGGAGGTCAAGTAACGTGCCTGAGCTCACACAGCTCATAGAAAGAAGAGCTGGGATTCACACCTAGGTCCATCTGACCTGGGGCCCTGAGCACTCGAGCACTTGCCCTCATGCCCCTCCTCAGGGAGTCTTGACACAGCCGGGAGAGAGTCAGCTACTGCCTAACAGGCTGCCCTGGACCTGCCCGCCCCCCCCCCGCCGCCCCCACCACACGTCCCTCTGCATTTCCTTCTCCAGCTCCTTGCTCTTTGGAGCAGCATATGTCTGCCGAGTCCGTGCCTACTTGGACCCCGTGGACATGTTGTCTCGTACCCCAACTCCAGGTTCACCCCGTGTACCACAGCAGAGGGCCCTGAGGCTGAAGCAGGTGGATGAGGGCAGTGTGCTACTCCCGGGACTCTGCACGTGGACGTTGGCCTCTGTTTGAAACTGTCCAGTCATACCCGTCATGTCCCACGTTCACAGCCACTCTGTCCCGCGGTGCTGGTTCCCTGCCCGCTTCTTCCGACCCATACACCCCGGTCGCTGATTTCTGTTCCTGACCAGGGGGATGCCTGCTCCTGCTCCCCACTCTTCCTGATGATGAGGAAGTTGAGGAGGACAGGAAAGAAAGCAGTCACTCATACTTCAGGTACATGCAAGAATTTCTTGTAAAAAAAAAAGTTTCATTTTTGTTTTTTCCTATGATTTCCCTTTGGGCTGGGAGACTTGGGGTTGGGAGTGTGATGGATGAAATCTAGTGGCCTTGCTGGAAGACTCCTTGGCTTGGTGTGAGGGGATTGGCCTGATCCCTTGTGTGTTCCTCAGAGCTGGGTCTGGGTTAGTCTGTGCTGGCTGGCATCCTTGAGCCCTCACTGCCCTCAAACAGGAGGTGTGTCTGGGTATGTGTTAGAAACCAGAGCCACCCTCTTCTATGCTTTCTGAGCTGGTTCCCGGGGATGACTCCCTGGTCCTGTGTATGGGGCTTGTAGAGCGCATGTCGGGCTGGGAGCCCTGCTGCCAAAAACCATTATCTCCTGAGCAAGCAGGCAAGGACCTCACTTGCTCATGGGGCCGAAGAGACCCTGGAGCTTTTCAAGACTGGGAGCTCTCTTGAGGGAGTGGTTTGTAGGAAGGATCTTGGGCAGAGAGGTCCTGGGTGGGAGGGATTATCTTCAAGAGCAGGTTGCTTCTCATCCATCCAGCTAGCACCAGCCCGGAGCTGCTCTGGGTCAACACAGGCATGAACACTCGTGAGAACACAGAGGCTTGAACAAGGCTGAGAGGTAACTTACGATGAGCGTTTACTGTGTGCCAACCACAGTGCCGAGCACTGTACGTCACATAACATGTTGATTTTGAGTTTGGTACCGCTTCAGCTAGGTACTGTTAGCAGCCCCATTTTACAGAGAAGGAGGTCCAGGCACAGGGGGATTAAATGGCCAACCAAAGAATACAGAGCTGGAAATCTACAGTCCACAGGATGGCAAATAATTGGACACGACTGGTGACTGAGCACAGACATTTAATACAAGCACAATAGTTATGAGTGTGGACTCCAGAGCTAGGTAGTGTTTAGATCCTGGCTCTAATGCTTTCCAGCTCTGCATTCTTTGGCTGGCCATTTAATCCCCCTGTACCTGGACATCCTCCTCTGTCAAATGGGGCTGCTAACAGTACCTAACTGAAGTTCTACGGAACTCAAAATTAACATCTATTTCCATGTGATATACTGGGCTTCCTTAGTGGCTCAGATGGTAAAGAATCCACTTGCAATGTGGGAGACCTGGGTTCCATCCCTGGGTCAGGAAGATCCGCTGGAGGAGGGCACGGCAACCCACTCCAGTAATGTTGCCTGGAGAATCCCCATGGAGAGAGCAGCCTGGTGGGCTACGGTCCATGGGGTTGCAAAGAGTCAGACATGACTGAGCGACTAAGCATAGTACACGTAACATATTATCTCAAAGCTTAGTTATGTTTATGTTATATGTTATATGTTTGTTAGTTGCTCAGTGGGCTTCCCTGGTGGCTAAGATGGTAAAGAATCTGCCTGCAATGCCGGAGACCCAGATTTGATCCCTGGGTGGGGAAGATCTCCTGGAGAAGGAAATGGCTACCCACTCCATTATTAATTCCATAACAGAGGAGCACAGCTGGCTGGCTATAGTCCATGGGGTAGCAAAGAGTCAGGCACCACTGAGCCACTAACATTTTCAGTAGCTTAACATAACAATAAACACGTATTTTCTCCCACCATCAAGGTTCAGGAATCTGGGAGCAGCTTGGCTGGGTGATTGAGCGTGGGATCTCTCATGAAGCTGCAGGTAAGATGTTGACCAGGGCTGCAGTCGCTTGAAGGCTTGACTATGGACTGGAGGATCGGCTTCCTGTCTCACATCGTCGGCAGATCTGTGCTGGTTGTTGGCAGGAGGCCTCCGCTCCTCACCGTGTGGGCCTTTCCACAAGGCTACTGGAGCAGCCTCACAACATGGTGACTGGCTTCCCCAGAGCGATCGATCCCAGAGACAGATGCTGGATTGCCTATGACAGCTGAGCCTTAGAAGTCACATAGTGTCACCTCTACCACACTCTGCTGGCCACACAGGTGAGCTCTAAGTCAGTGTGCAAAGAGGACTCACAAGGGCGTGAGTGGTCAGAAGCATTGGGCGCCATCTTGGAGACCGGCTACCATAAGATATAGTGCCACATTCTGGGGGTTCATGGGGAGAAAGGGCTCATTCACCAGAGCAGGCTCTGGAGTTAGGGTAGGAGAGTCAGAGGGAAGTAGCCTTAACTCTACACTTGGGAGGAATGTGCTAAGATAACGGTTGTATCCCCAGTCCCCAGATTATGCCTAGTTTCTGGTAGGTTCAGTTCAGTTCAGTCACTCAGTCATGTCCGACTCTTTGTGACTCCATAGACTGCAGCGTGCCAGGCTTCCCTGTCCTTCACCAACTCCCAGAGCTTGCTCAAACTCATGCCCATTGAGTCCGTGATGCCATCCAACCATTTCATCCTCTGTCATCCTCTTCTCCTCCTGCCTTCAGCCTTTCCCAGCATCAGGGTTTCTGGTAGGTACTCAGAGGTTAATCGTTGGATAAAGCATCAACAAGGCAAAAAAGGGGCCCAGTGTGATTTTATGTGTCTAAAGTTAGGGGAGGAGTGGTCATTATGAGGCGCCTGGATGGCAGGCAGGAGGGAGAAGGTGGGGGGTCCCCTTAGGCAGTGTTCCTGCAGTGGAGAGAGGACTGGAACTTGCCTGCTTTGCCTGGAGACCTGGCTTCAGCAGAACCATGTAACTGTGGGGCAGCAGGCAACTTCCCTTCTGCCCACTCCCCTGCAAATGAACTTGAACCTCATTTAAGGCTGGTTCTCTTCAGCCTTCTCCCTTGGCAAAGCTTTTGTCGCTTAGGAGGTCTCTATTTTGGAGAAAATCGAATCCACATGGTTTTGAGATTTTGTTCTTTGAAGTCTTTTTCTTTGTAGTCACATCAAAAATGAGATGTCCTGGGAGTCCTTCACATCTCCCCTCTCTTAAAAGCAGGAAGAGCTCTTTGCCATGTTCACACTCACCCTGGAGCAGAGAGTTGTGGGTTTGGTTGGGTTCAGAGCTGAGTTTTGTTACCCAGACTCTTTCTTCAAGGTGTGGGGTCTTAAGTCTGGTCTCAAATTCCGTTTTTTACATTTAAATATTTATTTAATTACTTAGTTGCGCCAGGTCATAGTTGCAACACACAGGATCTTTGATCTTGGTTGCAGCATGCAAGACCTTTAGTTGCAGCGTGTGGGATCTAGTTCCCTGACCAGGGATCAAACCTGGACCCCCTGAATTGAGAGAGTGGAGTCTTAGCCCCTGGATCACCAGGCAAGTCCTCATCAGGCCCCTGGTCCACTCTGGCACCCTCAGACTCCTCCTGAGCCTCCGTGTCAGCAGCTGTTTCAGTGCCCAGGTGTATACTGGCTTTGACTGCCAGCCTAGCACCAGGGAAAGTGGGCCAGGAACCTCCTCCCCTTGCTACAGGTAAGCCCTTCCTCTTGAGAGTCCCAATGCTGTGCAGCAGCGCCCTCTGCTGGCATGTCTTAAGACATCCACAGCTGGCATCTTGGTGGTCCAGAATTTCAGACTTCTACTTTGCTACAAAAGGCAGAGGGGGGAATTGAGGCCTGGACCTGCCCAAGGTGCCCCCAGTGAGCAGCAGCACCAGAAGCAGAGCCCAGGCATCCAAGCCTCCTGGAATATCTTTGATCCCTCACTTCACAGTCAATCACCTGTATTTTTTGACTTGGAGCATCACATTGAATGAACCCTAGACCCAAATACAGTCGAAACATGGCTCTGAATAGACTTTCTCAGAGAACTGTAAGTAAAGTAAGGAATCTTGCCCCAAGCGAAGAACTTCAGTAGCACCTTGAAAATCAGGCACCAGAACCAGACTCAGGGAAGGGACCCCAGAATTCCCATTATCCGAGGCTGGCACAGAGTGATGCAGGAGGTACAAACACCCAAAGAAGAAAGACAGCCACGCCCATGGCTGTGGGGAGTTGTTAAAGGTCCCTCAACAGAGGGGAGCAGAGCCGTCTGAGCAGAGGTGCTGAGTGTAGGAAAGACAGGTGGGAGACAAGACAGATGAGGGCCCTGAGGGTCCCCAAATGGAAAGAGGAGCAGGGGATGAGCTCTGGGGATAGAGAGAGAGCAGGGTCTTTGCCACGGGGCGTCAGGCAGGAGCAGGAGCTGGCCCAGGTGTGGTGGGTGGGCGCAGGCAGGGGATCTGGGCTTGGCCTGGAGTGTTGAGGATGTAGAGACCCGAGGCTGGAGAGACTCAGGGTGCAACCAGGAGGCTCCCAGCCTTTCTACCTGGCACAGAGCTCGACCAGTGTTCTCACAGTCGCCCCCGGTGGTACCTCAGGCAAATGATCCCCTCCCTGAGAGCAGAGACTGATGCCGACCAGAAAGGACAAGTGAGAACCGGGATGTGCACCACTGATTGTCAGAGCACCGCCCACCTGCATATCCTCTCTGCCGCGTGGAAGCTGTTCTGGGGGTTACCTTTGGGGAAGGAGCGGAGGAAGAAAGGCACTGGGGGGGTCTTTCTGGCCCCAGCACCCCAGGGAGTTGACAGCTCTTTGCCTCCGTGGCTTTACCTGCTCTCTCCCAAGGGTGGGATGCAGTGTGGACGGCAGCAGCACAAACACTGCTCGATTGTAGGGGTGCCAGGACCAAGCAGCAGCCCAGAGCCCTCCCTAGACTCAGGGTCCTGCCGGGTCTACGGTTCTCTGGCTGGCCTCCAGCTGCCACGAGAACCAGGTCCTCCCCACCTCCCTCGGTGGTGAGCCTCCTGGGCAGATCTGTGGCCCACATTTGGGGATGGAGCACAGAGCTTCCATCTGGAAAGGAGCTCACACCCTTGGCACTGCTGCAGCTCATTAGCAGTTTAAGCAGCCGCTTTCTGGGCTCAGGAGGCTGTCCCAGGGCTCTGGGGCCTCTGCCTGCCAACTCAGGACCTTCCCGTTTGGTGCCAAACTGAGGGACTGAGGGAATGACAGCACCCCCTCCCCCGACACCTGCTGGGTGGTCCTCCGAAAGAGTGGGCTTGGGGGAACTGGCAGGCTTGCCACCTGTGGACAGGCTCCAAGGTGAGTTCACAAAACACTCACTCTTTGGAGACCTGTGATTTCTCATAACTGTCGTGGCACGTGTCCCAGGCATGGCAGGGCACAGTTTGGTTGGTTGCTACTGGTAGCTCTCACTTGTCGCAGCTCTTTTAGGATCAAGCCTCAGTGGCAGACTCTGTCTTGCTTTGGAGGAAGGAGCCCTGGGAAGCTGTCGTGCTATGATGGCCTGGAGGATGTGACATAGCCGTGTGTGGGGTAGAAGGGCAGGCCCAGCAGAGGCCCTCCCTGAGACCTTACCCCTTGCCATTTCCTGCAACCTCGGGTGCTAAGGCCAGGTGCCCTGCTGGGAACTAGCAGGACACTGGGGGCTCCAGGGAGCTCTCAGTCCACATAGCCAGATCATGTTTCTATTAAGCATGTACCTCCAGCTGGGGCCTGGCTCCTGGGTGCAGGACCTGCCTCCAGAGTGGGATTGAGAGAGAGATGACTGACACCCCCCTCCACCCGCCTTTCAGACTGGACAGTGCAGGCTGAACCTAAGCCTGGAGGGAGCTGGGTCCCCGCAGAGTTTGACATGACCTTGGCCATCCGGGTCCTGCTGTCTCCGGGCCCAGGGCACCTAGTGGGACACGGCTGGGATGACAGTAAGCATCCCTGCCTGAGGATGGACAGGGAAGAGAGAGCCCATGGCTGATGGGGCTTAGCAGAGGCCCAGGGAGACATGAGCACCCTGCTGCCATTTCAAGGCAAGGGGCTGGACAGGAAGGTGGGAGGGATGAGAAATGTGTGGGAAAAGGTCAAGAGCAATCTGTTGGGTTGTTCCTAGAATGCCTCCCCAGCTCACAGCTCTGGGGTCAAAAGACCCCCTGACCAGACAGGGTCTCTTTAAACTTCCCTATGCCCTCTATGAGCCACCCTGTCTCTGTTTTACAGGTGTACACAGTAGAACCAGCAGGAGATTCTTTGTGACCTAATGGTAGGGTCTGGCTGGGCAATGTGAAATCTGGAGGGCAGTCTGGGAGGCTGGAACCACTCATCTCCCATGTGGAATTTCTTCCTCAGGGAAACCTCCATGTTGCTTTAAAGCCTTTCAGCTGATTAGATGAAGTTTGCTCATTTATCAAGGATAAACTCCCTGACTTAAAATCAGTTGGCCGCCACATCCACAAATTCGCTTCACAGCCACACTTAGATTAGTGTTTGATTAAATCACTGGGTACTGTCACCAGCCAGGTTTACACATAAGAGTGACTATTGCTGGGGTGACACCAGTGCCTACTCCCAGCTACTGTGAGGAGAAAGTGAGGCTGTGCCCAGACTCTGACTTGAACATGTCTTCAGGGCAAGGCAGCACTGGCTTCATGGGCTTGTCTGGAGCGTGTGGGTAGAGATAAAGGGGTATGCATTTAGGGCTGGTAGGAAGTGTCTCAGTCAAGGTAGCTGAGCTGGGTTTGGGCCTGCTTGTCTGCTGGGGGTGGGGGCTGGTCCAAACGGCCTTGGGGGTGAGGCATCAGTAGCTTCTGGGACCTGCGAGGTTCACACTTCCAGAGGCACTGTGTGCTTGCTACCTGGCCATGCAGACCTCATGTCTAGGGAGCAATCAGAGAAAACTTCCAGGCTAGCCTCACCCCTCCTGAAGGCCTGGCCAGGGACAGGCTAAGAGTTTCCAGGGCCCTAGAAATTCCTACCTGGCCCAGGTGCTCTCAGCAGGGGACTCTGTGCCCTCAGCCAGGGGTGCTGCCAGACCTTCAGATCTGGTGGGGTCTCCCCTGGGTCCACTGTGGCAGCCAGGTCTTTGGGAATAAGCTCAAATCTGTCCACACACCGCTAAACCTATAACTCAGATGTGACAACTTTCATCTCCTAATTTGACCAGTTTTCTAAAATATTAAAATCTATATAAAATTTATATGACATACAATCATTTTCCTAGGAATGGGGATAGTGGTAACACCTATTTCATAGGGCTGCTGTAGGAGTAAGCCCAGGTACAGTGAAGATGCCTGATTTCAGTGCTCAGGACATGTTGGACATTATTAAGACAGTGTTTAGAGATGATTTGGAGCCCACCTGGGCTAGGTATTTTCCATACATTATTTCAGTGATTCAGGAATAGACCGGATTTTGAAACCTGGGGGCTTGTGAAAGATGTGGAACGTGGGGTGAAGAGCCCCTGACTGCTAAAGTTGTTATGGATAATTGTCTGTCCTTTGTATTTTATTGCAAAGCTGTCCATGGCTTTCAATCAGCTCAAAGAATTCAGAACTTCTGATTTGGATGATAGTTGGATGTGTGTGCATGCCAAGTTGCTTCAGTCACGTCCGACTCTGTGACCCCATGGACTGTAGCCTACCAGGCTCCTCTGTCCATGGGATTCTCCAGGCAAGAGTACTGGAGTGGGTTGCCATTCCTTTCTGCAGGGGATCTTCCCGACCCAGGGATCGAACCTGTCTCTCCTGTGACTCCTGCGTTGCAGGCAGATTATTGACCACTGAGCCACCAGGGAAGCCCTGATGGTTAGGCATTCAATTACAATTATTCCAGCTCTGTTTTAGCTGAAAAGAAGATGTGTCCATACAGCTAAATAATTCAGTCACAGAGTGACCTTGGTGTTTGTAATCAAAGACTTCCCCACTTTCCTTCCTCTTTACCTCTTGTCATTTGAAAAATGTCCCTGAAATCATTTCCAGTGTCTCAGAGATGTGAATAACTGCAGGTGGATACTCCCTCGCCAGCCCGCGCTCTGTGCCTTTAAGGTCCACTGGGGGCGTGATATCAGCCGCCGGGCACCCCAGCGGGGAGTGGGGCAGCCCGATGTGGAGGAGGACCTGCAGGGAATCCGCGTCCCTGACTTCACCCATCTGGCGCGCTTGCCCGCAGGCCCTGTTCAGAATACACTGAATGGGCACTGACCCAGCTCCAGGAAAGCGAGGCGCCGCGGCTGGGGCCATGGTCAACTTCCAACTGGAAGACTTTGTCGCGGGCTGGATCGGAGGTGAGCGTAGCCCCGGGCGGGAGGGATGGAGGGACCCCCCCAGAGGTGAGTGTGGATGGGGACAGCCCTGCCGGACAGGAAGAGAGCGAGGCGGCGGGCGCTGCACTGGCGGAGTCTCCGCGCGGTGCCTGATTCGGGAGCTCCACGCCAGTCACGTACTGCCCACACACTACCCAGGCGCGCGCTGCCCGCCGCCCGGCTGGTCTTGCGGCTCCTCGCCTGCTGCCGCGCGAGCCCCACTCAGATTCTTCTGGAGCCTGCGATTGCCTCAAAGTTCGGGTTTGCAAAACTTGATCCTGATCCGTAATGATTAAACCGCCCATCAAAGTGGACAGCCAATGGAGCATCCCGGCGCGTACACTCCCTTCGGCACCCCGGTGCGCACCTGAATTTGGGCACTCCTGGGAACTTGTAGGTGAGAGTGGCGCTTGACCACCGCACGCCCAGGATGTGGAGCCCGGCACCTCGGTCAGGCTGGCTCTTCGGGCGGGCGGCTGTTGGGGGAGCTGGAGTGCAGAGCTGGGGACTCAGCACCTGCAGCAGGCGCCCCCTGCCAGACAGAGGAAACCTTTATGGTCTTCAGCTGCTGCCAACTGTCACCTCTCCTCTGGCACTGTTGGGCCAGCTGATCCCTACCTACCGCTCCTGGAGCCGCTGTCTGCTGGGTGTGTTTGCTTGGGCAAGAGTCACATCCACTGCCTCCCTTCTTGATTTTTCTCGTCCAGTAGGGGGTCGGTCTGTCCCTCCTCTTTATTCAGCTATTGGAGCTTTGAGAGACTTTGCTTATTGTAAAATACAGTCTTTCTTTTGGCTCCATCTAAGAGGATCATCAGGCTTCCCTGGCGGCTCAGCGGTAAAGAATCCACCTGCAATGCAGGAGTTGCAGGAGATGCAGGTTCAATCCCTGGATCGGGAAGATCCTCTGGAGAAGGGCATGGCAACCCATTCCAGTATTCTTGCCTGGAGAATCCCACGGACAGAGGAGCCTGATGGGCTACAGTTCATGGGGTCGCAAAGAGTCAGACAGGACTGAAGTGACTTAGCCCGCATGCTCGCAAGAGGATCATCAGAAAAGAGATGTTGATGAATGCAGCCCCTCCCCAAAGACAAAGTAAAATACCGGCATGCTCAGGTAGAGACTGCAGCCATTGCGTTTGTGCCCCACCAAGTGTCCTAGGTGTGGAGACCAGGAGACCTGTAGGAAAGGAAAAAACAGAAACAGAGCATCTAGAATCAGTGGTTCCTCTTCTGGTGGCCCCTCCCACCTAGCAGGAGTCCATGTCTGTCCGCCACAGGTGGCTGTAGGGCCCCTGTTTCTCACCCTCCCGAGCAGAGGCGGTTTCTTTCACTGGGTGATGTTCTGTTGCACAGACTCCCTTGGATAGGGCTAAATTTACCCGTCATGGGGTTGTGCCCAGAGACCCAGTGGGCGCATCCAGGCCCTCTTCAGACAAGCTTTCTTCTGTTCAGAGGGAGAGACTTTCCTTGACTGCCCCTTCAGTAGTCTGACCAACTTCAGTAGGGCTGCCCAGGATGTGATTTGAGAAATGTCCTGGAGGGTGAGGCTGCCAGAGTGGCTCAAAACCTCTGATGACGCAGACTCCTCACCTCACACGGCAAGTAGTGGGTCATCCTTTATTTGGAGATTGGCCTTACTTTGTTTACGTCAACGGGTTTCTGCTTCCATTAAATGAAGATGAGTGTAGAAGCAGGGAATACTTATTAAGTATCAGGTGCTGTTTAAATGCTATCTGTGTGCTCAGTCGCTCAGTTGTGTTTGACTCTTTGCGACCCAGTGGACTGTAGCCCACCAGGCTCCTCTGTCCATGGGATTCTCCAGGCAAGAATACTGGAGTGGGTTGCCATTTCCTCCTCCAGAGGATCTTCCCGACCCAGGGACTGAACCCACATCTCCTATGTCACCTGCACTGGCAGGTGGATTTTTTACCATTATGCAACTTGGGAAGCTCCTAAATGCTATATACTTTTAAAGTATATAGTATACTATATACTTTATAAATGCTATATTCTTTTATTGAGGTTATTTTACATATCATAAAATCCACTCATTTTCAAGTATACAATTTAGTGATTGTTAGTAATTTTACTAAGTGGTGCAACCATTACTGTAAGTTAGCTTTAGAACATTTCATCCCCCAGTAAGATCCCTCACACCTATTTACTGTGAAACCCCATTCCATTCCTCTCCCTCTGGGCAACCACTAATCTACTTTCAGAATCTGTTACAAATCTACAGTCATGGAGATTTCCCTCTATGTTTTAGTATATGATTTCTATAGTTTTAGTGCTTCCGGATAGGTCTTTGGTTTCTTTTGAGTTAACTTTGTATATGGTATGAAAGTGAAAGTCGCTCAATCTTGTCCAACTCTTTGTGACTCCCTTGGACTATAGAGTCTATGGAATTCTCCAGGCCAGAATACTGTAGTGGGTAGCCATTCCCTTCTCCAGGGGATCTTCCAAACCCAGAGATCAAACCCAGGTTTCCCACATTGCAAGTGGATTCTTTACCAGCTGAGCCACAAGGGGAAGCCCAAGAATACTGGAGTGGGTAGCCTATCCCTTCTCCAGCAGATCTTCCTGACCCAGGAATCAAACCAGGGTCTCTTGCATTGCAGGCAGATTCTTTACCAACTGAACTATCAGGGAAGCCCCTATACGGTTTGAGGGAGAGGTCTAACTTTATTCTTTTGCATTGATACCCAGTTATCCCAGCACCTTTACCTCCCTTTCTGTAGGGTGTTTGTCCTGGAGGCAAGGCCCCGGTTTTACTCCATTCCCTTTGCCTTCCTCTGCGTGTGAGCCTGTACCTGAGGTCCCCTTCTGGTGACTGGGCGTGGACTGAGTAAGTGAATGTAAGTGCCTGGGTCCTCTGTTCAGTCCTGAGAGCCAGCTCGTGCAAGTTCAAAGTCCAGGGGCTGAGTAACCAGCAAGTCTTCTTGATCCCCAGGTGCAGCCAGCGTCATCGTCGGCCACCCTCTGGACACAGTCAAGGTATGGTAGCCATGTCACCATTACCTTTTGGAAAGAGGCCTGGAGCCAGTCTGCCTCCAGTAATGTGCCTGCTGTTTCTGACCCCCAGAAGGTCGCCAGCCCAGGGCCAGCTCTCTGTGCCAGTCCATGGGGGTGGAGTGCTGGGAGGCCCAGCCTGGAATGCTCTACCCTCATTGCTTGGCAGTGATTTTGTTTTCATGAATGCTCCATTTCTGCCTTCAGGTTCTCAGGAGCTGCAGGGGAGAGGGCGGGGGCACTGGGAATGTTCTCCTGCACGCCTCTGTGAAACTAAGGAGCCAGAAAAGGCTTCCAGTGTGAGGTGGTATCTGAACCAGAATCTAAGGTCAGGCGATTGGAGAAGATATCCCAGGCACAGAGAACAGAATGGGCAGAGGCACTGAAGTGGGGACACCGCCTGGGGGCCATGCTTAGGAAAGGCCAACATGGCCAGTTTTGCTGATGCCTCAGGTTTCTGAAAGCAGCTATGGATCAGAATCCAGGAAGGGTAGGTGGGCAGTCAATCCTTGTAGGCTTTGAATATCAGCTTAGGACTCTGGACCTACGTTGGGAATGGGAAGCCATGGTAACTTGATGGAGCCAGCAAAGCCCCTTGGCATTGGAATCATCCACGTCCCTTGTTCTTCAGGTGTGGAAACTGGCCCAGAAAGGGGAAGGGCTTACCCCAGGTCACGACAAGTTGAAGCACTGAGAAGTGAGGTGCTACAAAGGGACATCTGATTCCACCCCCACCCCTGCCTCCTGTCCCCGTGCTAAGCAGCACTCAGGCCTACCCTGAGAAGGTGGCCACAAATAGTGCCTCCTCACCCTGACTTTCGCATTCACATCTAATGCTCTGCCAGGATTGTGCACAAAAAGGAACCTCTCAGGCCCTCCTCCAGGGGCCGCTGTGGCCCCCTTCCTCCCCATCTTCCTCCCTATGCGACTGTGGGCCCCTCCTCCGTCAGAGCCCAAGTCTGCTCTCTTCTGATGGGGAGGTCAGCCTACATGTCTAAATAGTTTAAGGTATTTCCTGGCTCCTCGATTCCCTCACACAAGCCCAGCCTTTTGCTCATATATCAAACACATCCTGGATGCTTTCTCCATGCAGGTGCTGTGGGGCTGGCAGGGCAGAGGTGGTGGACTAAGCAAGTCCAGTCCCTGCCCCTGCACATCTAACAGCCGTGTGTCTGCCCCAGGCAACCAGTGTGTTTCCCTGATAGAGCATCCTTCCCTCACCCACAGCCTGGTCGGGGGCTGGTAGAGCTTGTTTGGAAGCCCCACCCTCATCTCCTGCCCCTGGCATGGCAAGCCTGGCCACCCTGGGCCGCATGTCAGCTGTAAAGGATAAGATTCTTCCTTTTCTCCACCCCTCCCCATGAGCCTCTACAGGAAAGCTTTCCCAACACATAAAATCTAGTCTTTGTTCCACCTGAGAACCTCTCTGTTGAGAGTACCAGCCTGATGATGCCAGCTTCCATGGCTGGCCTCTGGGTCCAGCCCGGGGCTGGCCTGGGGCCCTTGTTTCTCTCCAGAACATTTTCCTTCCTTCTGGTTGGCATTTACTCTAGAGTTCCTATTTGCTGAGAAAGGTCTGGGCCAGAGTCCCAGAGTCAGAATAGCCTGGAGTCCAGTTCCCACTCCCCGCATTTTCTCCCTTAACTTCCCTGAGCCTCAATTTCCTCATCTATAAAATGGACAGTGAGCCCCTTCCCCAGTGGGGCTGTCATGCAGATTGTCACGTTGGCAGCAAGGGGAGAGCAGTGAGCAAGCCCTTCTGTCCTGAAGAGGACACGTGCTGGAGTGTGGTGATGCAGACAAGCAACTTGTCCCAGGTCCCCAGTCTCCCCGCTGAAAGAGCCAAGCTGGAAGGATCTAGGCTGCTGACCTGGGGCAGAGACTCCTGCCCCACAGGTGGGAGAGCCAGGCTGGCTGCTTGGGGCAGCAGAGCGGGGTTCAGGATTCACCGCAGGCTCCTGGCACACCTGGTATGCTTAAAGTTTGTGTCTGATGCAGTGTGACCAGGGTTTTCTAATCAGGGCTTAGCTCTCTATAGACCAGTGAGAACACTGTAAGAAAATAAATTTGCATTGTTTTAAGCCACTACATTCATCATATGTTATTACAGCAGCAATCAGAAACCTATACAGGGAATCAGCTTTTTTCATCAGTGAGGTGGGGATAGTATCCACACCTCATAGCATTTGTGGGATTCTGTGAGATACGTCCCATAAGATGCCCAGTATTTCCCTACTGGTCTATATGCAGTTGGTCTATATTATGTGCTAGCTCCTGTTGCAGTTGGAGATCCTAGAGGCTTGAACTCTGCTGCTGGCATGGGTGTCAACTTCCTCAAGGGCTGGCAGACCTTTGCTCTGGTCTAGGCCCAGGGTGAAGCCTGCCCTGGGCTTTTCTGTGGCCTTACTCAGACCCTCTGCCTGTCTACAGATACCCCAGTCAGCGGAGTCAGCCTCCATTAGAGTATGCCACCATCTCATCCTCCAGTCAGTCAGTGCAAGGGGCCGAGTGCCAGGGCCACGCTCTGCTCCAGGGATGAGAGGAAAATACAAGATGGCCCTGTTCCACAGGGGGAACCCAAATACCCTACAAAGCCAATGGAGGTGACAGAATTCCAGCAGAGCTATTTTAAATCCTAACAGATGATGCTGTTACGTGCTGCACTCAATATGTCAGCAAATTTGAAAAACTCAGCACTGGCCACAGGACTGGAAAAGATCAGTTTTTTCCAATTCCAAAGAAGAGCAATGCCAAAGAATGTTCAAACTCCTGTACAATTGCATTTGTTTCACGTGCTAGCAAGGTTATGCTCAAAATCCTTTGAGCTAGGCTTCAGTAGTTATGTGAACCGAGAACTTTCTGATGTATAAGCTGGGCTTCAGAGAGGCAGAAGAACCAGAGATCAAATTGCCAACATTCACTGGACCATGGAGAAAGCAAAGGAGCTCCAGAAAAACATCTACTTCTGCTTTATTGACTGTGCTAAAGCCTTTGACTATGTGGATCACCACAAACTGTGGAAAATTCTTAAAGAGATGGGAATAACAGACCACCTTATCTGTCTCTTAAAAAACTTGTATTAGGATCAAGAAGAACAGTTAGAACTGGACATAGAACAACTGCCTGGCTTAGGATTGGGAAAGGAATATGTCAAGGCTGTGTATTGTCACCCTGCTTATTTAACTTCTATGCAGAGTACATCATGCAAAATGCTGGGTTGGATGAAGCACAAACTGGAATCAAGATTGCTGGGAGAAATATCAATAACCTCAGAAATTCAGCTAATACCACTCTAATGGCAGAAACTGTAGAGGAAGTAAAGAGCCTCTTGATGAGGGTGAAATAGGAGAATGAAAAAGCTGGCTTGAAACTGAATATTCAAAAAACTAAGATCATGGCATCTGGTCACATCACTTCATGGCAAATAGAAGGAGGAAAAGTAGAAGCACTGACAGATTTTATTTTTTTGGGTTCCAAAATCACTGTGGACAATGACTGCAGCCATGAAATGAAAAAAAAAATAAAAAGTTTGCTCCTTGGAAGGAAAGCTATGACAAATCTAGACAGTGTATTAAAAAGCAGAGACATTACTTTGCCATAAAAGGTCCATATATTCAAAGCTATGGTTTTTCCAGTAGTCATGTATGGGATATGAGAGTTGGACCATAAAGAAGACTGAGCGCTGAAGAACTGATGCTTTTGAATTGCAGTGTTGGAGAAGACTCTTGAGAGTCCCTTGGACTGCAAGATCAAACCAGTCAATCCTAAAGGAAATCAGCCCTGAATACTCATTGGAAGAACTGATGCTGAAGCTGAAGCTCCAATACTTTGGTCACCTGATATAAAGAGCCAGATCATTTGAAAAGACCCTGATGCTGGGAAAGATTGAAGGCAAAAGGAGAAGGGGGTGGCAGAGGATGAGATGGTTAGATAGAATCACTGACTCAGTGGACATGAATTTGAGCAAACTCTGGGAGACGGTGAAGGATAGAGGAGCCTGGCGTGCTGCAGTCCATGGGGACACAAAGATTCAGACATGATTTAGCGACGGAACAGCAACAACAGCAAAACAGATAAGCAGGTCACATCACTGGAGCACTGAAGTTCAGACCCAAAAGATGAGCTGAAGAAAGAGCCTTCCAGGGGAGAATTGTGGGTGGAATGTTCTGGAAGCAGGAAGAAACTGATGCTCCAGGGTCCAGGAATGTGTAATGTGACAGGCACAGCAGGTGTGGAGGAAATTACCTGGAGGTGGTGAGAGGCACCACAGAGGCACCACCCAGGACCTCTGTGGTTCTGGTTAAGGGTGGGATTTTTCTGATTTTGGAGGGAGGCCTCTGCAGAGCTTGATACAGCAATGACAAACATTCATCGTTGTTTGGAAAAGATTAGTCTGACTGTTGTGTCGCTACAGACAAAGGAGTGAGCGGGAGAGCAGGAGGCCATCGAGGAGCCCAGTGCATCACTGGGGGGACAGATACGGGGGTTCTGTATCTGTCGGGAGGTGAGATGAGCAGGCCACTCCCAGGAGTATTTGGGAAGGTAGGGTGCTGGACAGCAGACATGCTGGAGCCACAGGTTAGCTCTTGTACTCAAGATGCAGCAAAACTATATGTCTCCAAACAAGCGTTGTTCTTGTGCAACAAACTAGCCTGTCTTCTTCTCTCAGATCGAGGGGGCTCCTGCTGCATTTAGCAAGGGGCGAATGGGATGTGTAGGGAGGCAGTGCAGGTAGAAGACAGAAGGCCAGCCAGGCTGGGATGGGGCCACAGGGGCAGGGCCTTCCCCTCTCTGGGCCCCTGTGCTGGGAGCCCAGCATCATGGGAGTGGTGGGGATGTGACCTGTCTCTGCCTGGCCTCAGGCCCTTGCCTTTGCCTTTCTCCGCAGGCTCGCCTGCAGGCCGGCTCTGGCTATGGGAGCACCCTCAGCTGCATCCGCACGGTGTACAGGAGGGAGAGTGTAAGTGCTCTTGGCGGGAAGGTTCTCCTGGGGACCAAGGTCACCGTCCTCACCCCCTGTTCATGACGCTCATCACCTTTGGCTCAGTGTTCCCTGTTCATCTCATACCACTCCTCAGATATTATGTATTACCTAAACTTAACCCTGTCCCTGGCTGCAATGTTATTGAGGAAAAAAACTGTGTGTCGTCTCTCTGGAGAAACTTTGAGGCACTTAGAAACATGGAGTGGAAAATTCTTGCAAAAACAGGGTGACCTGTCAAGTTTTCAAAACCAAATCAGTGGCAGGTTAAGCCATGTGTTCACAGCTCCCTTTATCCCAGAGTGGGGCAAGGGGTGGGAGGTGGGGTGGCTCTTCTGATCCCAAACACCCAGAGCAGGCTTGTACCACACTCCAGACCAGGGGACTCAGGGGTTTTCTCTGCAGAGGGGAAAATCTGAGTAACAGATTTTGTAGAAGCATTGGGTGCCGTTCTTGAGAATGAGTATGTGCTTTTTGAAGACTTTCCAAGACTCCTCCTTGGGGAATTTTAAATAAATTTTAAAATTCAGGATGAAATGACCTATTAGTTTGAAGAAATAGGCGTAAGCAGACAGAGAACAAATATATGGATACCAGGAGATAAAGTGGGGGTGGGATGAATTGGGAGATTGGGATTGATATATATATATACACACACATTACTATGTATAAAGTAGATCACTAACGAGAACCCCCAGCATAGAATAGGGCACCCGACTCGGCGCTCTGTAGTGACCTAAATGGGAAGGAAATCCAAAAAATTGTATGTTTATGTGTATGTGTAGTTGATTCACTTTGCTGAAGAGCAGAAACTAGCACAACATTGTAAAACAATTACACTCCAATAAAAATTAATTTGAAAAAAAGAAATAGGTGTAAGCCCTGTGGCAGCATTGGGCTTTTCCTTGGTTCCCTGGAAACGTGACCCCCTTATTGACCTGTGTCCCCACCAGGCTCCCTCCTGGGAAGTGGCCTGGAGCTCAGGAGGCTCCTGTTTGCACCTGGAGTTTCTTCTCCTCGGTTGGAGTGTATCTTGTGTCTGCGTGTTGTTCTGGTTCTCTGGATGGTCTGCTTTAAAATCAGGGTGAGCCCTGCAAACCCAGCACTAGCTGTTCTGGTGTAATGTTATCCTACTCCTCCATCCTCTGAATGGCAGCTATTGATTCTCCTTTCTGGGACATGTGCCCTGGGGTTTCTGTGGGGGCTGTTGGCATTCCTCTAAGACACGGTGGTTCAAAGCTAAGTGATGTCCCAAGCTATCTGAGGGGCCTTGTAGAGGAGGAGTCTGGAGTATGGTGTGTGCGTGCATGTGTGTTTGCAAGCACATGCGTGTGTGGACGCTTGTGTGAGGTGGTGTCCAGGCCCTTGTGAACAGGGTGCAGTCATGCAGGTCAGGCTAAACTGGCTTGAGCACAGCCTGGAGTTTTTACAATGGCTTCCCAGTGCTTTTTCAGCTTTGGTGCCCTGTATGTGGCCCTGACTCCTCCAAGGGCCTCTGGGATTTTCCAGGCTCAGTGGCGCATCTGTGGTGTCTGCTGAGAATGCAGTGTGTGTGTACAGAAGCCTTTCATGCTGCTCATTCGGGGACTCTCCCTCCAGCTCTGTTCCAATAGGCGCGCATGCTCAGGGGCACCCAGTACCTGCTGGCCCAGATACCCCTGGGGGGCTGTGGGACCCTTCACACCCCGCCACTACAGGCTTAGCACATTGTATTTTACTTGCCTGTCAGTCTGTCTGCCTGGGTCCTCTCCTCCCCCGCCTCCAGATTGAGAGCTCAGTACAGGCGGAAACTGCTTCTTTCTTGTCCTGCAGGGCCTGGCGCGTGCCCAGAGAATGCTTTCGTTGGAGTGGCGCATGAGCAGGGAGCATGTGGTGCTTGGGAAGCCCACTGCCCACTGGGCCTCCGTGGGCTGCCCTTGGCCACACCCAGGAACACTGCCAGTCTGGTGACAAATGCAGGTCCCAGGCCCAGCACACCATGGCTCAAGAAAGATCTTCGTGCAGAAGCCAGTTCCTCCTCAGGGCAAGGATGCTCTCATGCTCCCCTGTTTCTCCTTTCACATCATCACCCTCTTATTCTTTCCACCAACATCAGTTCAGTTCAGTCGCTCAGTTGTGTCCAACTCTTTGCGATCCCATGAATCACAGCACGCCAGGCCTCCATGTCCATCACCAACTCCTGGAGTTCACTCAAACCCATGTCCAACAACTGGCTTGCTTTTCCTGTGGTGTCTCCCCCACTAGGCTGCAGGCTTCAGGAGGGCAAGGTCTGTGCCAGGGGTGGCATAGGCCCTCATGCGTCCTCCTCCTGGGTCTCCCCACAGGTGTTTGGTTTCTTCAAGGGCATGTCCTTCCCCCTTGCCAGCATCGCCGTCTACAACTCGGTGGTGTTTGGGGTCTTCAGCAACACACAGAGGTTCCTCAGCCACCACCGGTGCCGGGAACCTGAGGCTGGCCCACCCCATGTGCTGTCTGACCTGCTTCTGGCCAGCATGGTGGCCGGCGTGGTCTCTGTTGGGCTGGGTGCACCCGTGGACCTCATCAAGATCCGGCTGCAGATGCAAACACAGCCATTTCAGGAAGGTAAGAGGCCAGGGAGGTGGCCTGGTGTCTGGGCACCTATGACCCTCTCATGGCTTCCTAGCTCTGGGATTTGGTTAATATCCTTTTAATGGAGCAGGGCATCTATGTCAAATCATTTTTATTGACAGCGGCAACTCTCATTGGTCAAGGGTTTACTATGCACCAGACGTTTCTGAAGAGCCCCACATGTCTTCTCTTAATTCATCTTCAGAACAATTCTCTGAGGCAGGCACTGTGATTGTTTCCATTTTGCAGATGAGAAAACTGAGGCTCCCAGAGGTTGAGATACTTATTCAAGGACACACAACTCATGACTGGCCAGTCAGCACCAGCATTATAGTTTGCAGCCCCTGGCATGAAATGAAAATAATCTGTTGATCACAACTTAATAAGAATTTTAAAAGGGCAAGAGCAGAGCATTAAGTCAAGTGAGGGGCCCTGCGTGACTGTCCAGGTCTCAGAACCACACCTGCCCCTCACACCACGGAGTGCAGCCAGGAGGCCTTGAGCTGGATTGGTTGCTGGTTCATGAAGTGGGTGCCCCTCACTTTGCCATCAATGTTCTATTAGAGTTTCATTTCTTATCTGCTGTGTAGCTAGCTACTCCTGCCCCATGGTGAGCTGGAGCTGACATCTCCTCCCTGCTGGAAAGAGGTGCCTGCCTCATCTCCTGGGACCAGTTTTGATAAAGGAGGTTGGAAAGAACGAGAAGGCACTTGCTGTGTGGACAGAAAGGGCCGGCTGTAGAGAAAGGATGAGCTGGGGAGTCTTAGACAAATTCCAATACCTTGGAGTTTGGTCCTTGGCTCTCATTTTACTCTGCCTCCTCAGGGAAGATACCATCCCCTTCTGGGCCTCAGTCTGCTTATTGTATGATGGAAGGACTGCATCTTGGTCCTTCCTGTGACCGCAGATATATACCTGACAGATGTTTTGGGTAAGACCCCTCTGCTTGGCCACCTTCTGAGTGGCCTCCATGTGAGCCCTCTGCCCACAGAGGCTGGGTGGGGGGCAGCTGTGCTGACCCATGGCTGAAGCCCCAAAAGCTCACTCAGGAGCATCCTGGGCCAGTGCCTGTCCTCCCCCCACTGCTACCCAGGCTCCTTGATTCACCGGCCCTCCCTGCGCAGCTGGGCAGGTGTCAGGGCACGTCTGCACACACTCCAAGCATGGTGCTGATGCTCCTCACAGGGGCCCCTCCTACCCCAAGAACAGGAGTCACACCTGCTAGGTGCTCAGTGCCCCAGGGCCCGTGGTCACTGTGAACACGCAGGGAGATGTAAGGCAACAATGAGATGGTTCACCCAGAGAGTCACAGAGCAGCCCCCTGGGGGCCACTGAGGAGATACAGGGTGGGGGCATCCTCAGCCCCACCTACCTAACACGCCGAGTCATATCTTGGTACCGTTCAGTTTGACCAAAGGGTTGCACCTCTGAGAAGAGTTCGAAGCTCACTGATCTGGTCCTGTGTCAGAGGCAGAAGCAAAGATGTAGAGAAATGAAGGGGCATTGTGAACAGGCCTAGAGCGCAGGGGTCCTGGCCGCCAGGCTGGTTTTTTATGCTCTCCTGTCTACTTTTGCAAAGTTGTGTTGGTCTAGGGTGCAGAGTAGGTCTCTCTCCATAAACCTTGGAGCTCTTTGGGGTCTATATGTTGGACGAGTCTCAGTGGCGGGGCTCCTCGGTTCATGGGGGCAGCCCCACCCGCATCACAACCGAGGCGCCTCATCCCCGAAAGAGGAGGAGAGTGGGGCAGGCGTGCATGCATGCCTGTGAGGGCCCCCAGTCAGCCTGGACACCCAGCGAGAGTGCCGGGACAGGCGATCCCGGGACACTTGGAGACAAGTTCATTGGTGAACTTTCTTGACAGTGTTGGGTTCCATCCTCTGTTCTTCCCTCGCCCATCTACACTTTCCCTGAAGAGGGACTCTAGAATGGTGGCTGACTTAGCAGGCTAAGGCCTGAGCTACAGGAGTCCTGAGGCCAGACTAGAGGAAGGACGGGAGCAGCTCCAGAATAGCCAGACCCAAGAAAGGCCCCACCCCTGAGTGTGCAGGAGCCTTACTTTTAGGGAGCGGAGCAGACTCTGTTAGCAGCTGCCAAAGCTGCTAAGTGCTCATCGTGTCCTGACACTGTGTTAAGTGCTGTTTGTGCATGGCCCCATTTAATATCCACAAACAACAGTGTGAGGTTCATTTACCCAATACCCAATAGTTATGCACCTGCTGTGTGCCAAGCCTATGGCTAAGTGCTGGGGCCGTAGTGGTGGACAGAAGACTGTCCTGTTCCTCTTGCAGCTCTCTGTCCAGCAAACAGGCAGACAGGCACTGGGCCACTCCAGACACGGTGGGGGAGTGGGAGGGGCTCTCAGCTGGGCTAGGGGTCAGAAGGGCTTTGGGGAAGGTGGTGGAAGGGGTCGAAGGAGGGCCTGGAGGTCAGGACTGGGCACCTGTCAAGGCCACACTGAGGGCCACCTGTGCCTGCTCACCTGGGTCCTGGGGGCCTGGGGCGGAACTCCCTAGAACTGCCATCTGGGGCGTCAGGACTCTTGTGGAGCCCTGTTAACTGGACAAGCCCTCTGAGCAGGGAGGACATGGGGACTTGCACTCTCCTTATTCCCCACCCCCAGCATCTCATCCTTCTCCTGTATGGATGGGACCATGGCCCAGGTTGTAAGTTTATCTGTGATACCAGAAGGAAACCGGTTCTTAAGCAAACCCCTTAAGGTAGCAACAGAAAATGAAGATGCACTTGTTCTGTCCTTTCCAGGGTGCCAGGAAGCTAGCCTTTAGGGAACTCAGGGAAGGCTCTTAAAAAGAGACCAGGGGAGGCCCTGCACACAGAAAAACTTTTCTCAGCCCTTCTAAGCTCGAAGTCATTGGCACCTGGTCCCAGGGGCTTATCTGACAGTGCAAACACAAGGGAGTTGACCTGAGTGTGTGGAGAGAAGGTAGAAACCAAGGCTGAAGGGTCCCCCTCAGCTGTGCCCCTGGAACCTCCAATCTGGACTAAGCCAGAACACTCCTGGCTGTGGGGGCAGGGAGCCAGTGTTTCCTCAGGCTTACCATGTGGCAGGCACTGTGCGAAGAGCTCAGTGTGTTTAATATTCACAAAAACCCAGTTCCTGGACATTTACAAAGGGGAGACAGAGGCACAGGGAGATTCCACTGCCTGCCAAGGTCCCTGCCCAAGTTGGGGGTGAAGCTGGGACGAGGGCCCAGGCAGCTGACTCAGGACCACTGATGCTGTTTCTGCTTCTGCCCCCAGGGTTTTATAGAAGCTGAGGCTTCAGTGACTTTGGTAACATCTGGCCTTGGCACAGAATCATCATGTACAAAACCAGCTGCAAACTTTGAGGGAGGGAAGGGAAGTGGGAATTTGACTCCAAAATGACATTGTTCAAGGAGTGGGCGCAGCCCGTGGGCTCCAAGGGACGGGTCTGAATTCTGTGGCTCTGGGCAGCTCCTCTCTGCGTGGCCCTCGTCCCCTCAGATGCTTTAGAGAGGGGCCTTTGGTGACTATGGGTGCGGGGCAGGATCAACTATTGGGGATAAAGCGGGGGAGGCAGGTTGTGGGTCACCAGGCAGTTCTTTCTGCCCAGAATCCCTCCAGAAGTAGAGGAAGGATGTGGTTTTTCTTTCACTTGTTCCTCAGAAACCCTCTAGGCCAAAGGTAGAGGGGTAGACTCACTGGGCCCAGGCAGGAAGCACCAGTGAGCACTGGTACCTGGAGAATGTACCCTTTTCCATTTTTTGAACACCTACAGCCCTCCGAACCTATGCTTCATTTTTCCCCTTCTTATAGAAAAACAAAACATACTTTCCATGTCACTCTGGCGTTAGAAATGCAAGCCATTCAAGCACTCATCAGCCTTGGTGCCTGGGAGGCAGTGGGGAGTGATGGGAATAGTTGCAAGTTGCCCAAATCCTCTCTAAGGGGGTGGCTCCGACTCTGCTCCAGCCGACTGTTGCCACACAGCCTGGATCTTTTGCTTTTTTAAAGAAGGCAGAAAGCTAGATTTTCCCAGGGTCTTTTAACTGGAAATTGTCAGATAGTTCAATCAAAACCAAAATCAAATGCAAATCAACATAACACCATGCAGCCAGACCATTGTGTGGACTTGACAGCGTGGGCTGTGATTAGCTGCCAACTTGTGGTCTCTGCTCTGAGTCAGGCCCACTCTCCCTGACAACTGTGCTGAGAAGTAAATTTAGGCTGCCTTGTGTGGGGCTTGTGGGATTGCTCATGGCTTGTGGGTTTACCCCAGAATTACCAGTCCATTTCCTGGGTGGTGACAATGGGGGTCTGTGAGAGACCAGGCTCCATACTAAATGCAGGAGCCAGAGGCCTCTGGCTTCCTTGTTTGGGGGCAGATGTCAGGTGGAATGCAGGCCGTGTTGAGGTGAGAACCCAGCTCATCTGGTTGGAGACGTGCAGATATAAAGCCATTGAGTTCATCCTGATTGTCTGAATGTGGAGGGAAAGAGAAGCCATCCAACCAAGTACAGTCACCATTAACACATTAGTGTATTTCTTCTTCCTTTTCAGTGAGCATAGACGAAATGTTTTAAGAGGTTTTACTCATGTTATCTAGACAGTTTCATATCCTGTTGTTAACTCAACAGTGTAACGAACATTTTCCATGTTATTAAAATAGCATTATAAAATGAAAATAGATGGATAATATTTAAAACAGATGTACAAGGGTCCATAAAACACACACATATTTTGAGAAGGATGATATAGCATAGTAAGATTCAGTTTCTGGGATTAGACTACCTGCTTCTAATCTTATCTTCACCTATTGTCAAGAAGCCCCAGTTTGTGTGCTGTGCTAAGTTGCTTCAGTAGTGTCAAACTCTTTGCAACCCTATGGACTGTAGCCCACCAGGCTCCTCTGTCCCTGGGACTCTCCAGGCATGTATATTGGAGTGGGTTGCCATTTCCTACTCCAGGAGATCATCCCAATCCAGGGATTAAACCAGCATCTTTAAGTCTCCTG